CTTCCGATATACAGATAAAGAGGAAAAACTAAAATCTAAGACTAATCGAATTTCTGACCCATCTAATATTATTGCCGGGGGAGTCACAAAGTGGATAGTAAAGTTAATACTGCTGAAATTATAACAAAAAAAGATGATCTATATATTTTAATCGAACGTAATCATAAAGAAACAGAAGAAGCTGAGCGTGAAACAGAAAGAATTTTGAATTCTAACTAATCTATCTTTGCTTTCTCTATATTGATATTGGTAATCTTTTTATTTAAGTTATCAGATTCGTTTTTATAGCCACTGTATGACTGCCTTCGGCAAATCTGCAACTTTTTATTAAGTTCGAGTAATTTATTATTGGAATCGAGTATTGCATATAGCGATTTTTCTAACTCCTCATAACTCATGCATTTTTTTTTAGCACTTTTGGTGCTTGCTTTGTTAAAGTTAAATTGACAGAATCTAAGCTAAAATCCGCAGGAGCACACCACTCATCAAATGGTATACTGTTATCCTCATCCCCATCTATCTTCTGAGAAATTTAAACTGATATCAAAGGCTTACTATCTTGAACTAAATTTGTGCAATTTACCTTAAGTTTATTCTTGACCTTATGCATAGTAACCGGAATGATGTGATCCTTTCCATTAAAAAGAATTTTCAGCTCATTTTTATCCCAATCCATAGCACATTTGTATTTCTTGAGAAGATGGTTTGAAAATATTAATATCAGCTTGGAATGTTTTACAACTACAAAATCTTCATATATAGTACAATCAGGGTTTAGTGTTATTAGTAGATTACGAACAATACTAATAGATTCAATTGGAACAGTAGCAATACCATTAAGGTCATACTTTACTGATCTATCAATTTTTCCATTTACACGCTTAACAATATCATCTGTTACAATATCAGTTTTAGCTCCACTATCAAGTATCATTGCTAGAATTTTCAAGCGCTTAATTTTATATTCTACAGTTGCAACACTTGTAGCTGGCTCTTTTCTCCGAACTAAATCTATCTC